AGGCTTTGAAAAGATGATATAGAAAATGTGGAACAATGGGCATACCAGTACAAGAGAAGATATTACATTCACTACTTTTCGCAGATGATCAAGTCATTTTTGCACAAGACAGGGATGAAATGAAATATATAATAAGGAAATTAAAGGAAGAATATGAACTTTAGGGTCTCAAGATAAATATGTGCAAGACCGAATACTTATGTATTGGACCCGAGGTTGCAGATTTAAACTTAAGTTTAGAAGAAGAGACTATTAAGAGTTGTAAGACTTTTAAGTATTTAGGGTCAATGATTAGCCGAGATGGTACTTATATGAAATATATAGAAATGAAAAATAGCACGGGGAAAACAAGCCATAAGAGCACTCCATGGAGTGATATGGAACAACACTCTAACCAAAGAAAACAAAAAGAGGATTTTTCAAAGCATAGTGATGAATATTACCCTATATGGAGCGGAAGTATGGCCAATGACAACAACAATACGAAATAAAATAAGAACAGTTGAACTGGACTTTATGAGAAGATGTCTACAAATCACAAGAGCGGATAGAATAAGAACGGAGGAAATATGGAACAGAATGGAAGTAGAATGATCAATTACAAAAAAGTTGGATAACAGAGCCCTGCAGTGGTACGGGCATGTACAAAGAATGCCAGGGGATAGGTGGCCGAAAAGAATATTAAACTGAGACCCGCCGGGAAGAAGACGGAGAGGAAGACCTGATACAAGATGGAAAACATACGTCGGAAATGACAGATAAATAGAGACATGATAGATAGATAGATAGAGAAGGTGACTGGGAGAATAGAGTGCTGTGGAGGACGAAAACGGCGAACTCATAATGGGAAAATCCGAAGAAGAAGAAGAAGGAAATATATAGATTTTCCCAACTATAAGGTAGTTTTGTGCTTATATTCCTGACCTCTAACTGGCGTTTTTATTTTCAGCATAGCATTACCTAGATTCACTGCTCAGCAAGTTTCATATTCCCTTTTTATTTGCTTTTTTGAACATGAGCATTGTAATGTTAGTGTGACATCCATCTGGGATTATTTGTTAATTTTTTAAATTCATTTCTTGAGTATATGTTACATCTGTTTCTGGCGCCCACAAAATTTACCTTCTACTTTAACTTTTAAGTATTAACTATTAACTTTATGAGCTAATTTATTCCTTCATAAAAAATTATATTTCTGGTTCTTTCTTAACGCCCTTTTTAAATAATAAGACTAGCTCGCTTGTTCTCGGTTATTCTGGTTTTTATTGTTTTAATTTTGTCAGCTAATCCCTTATTGCTGCTGCACCATATTTCAGTAATTCATTTGGTATGTATTCTCTACCTGCAACTTTTCTACTCTTTATTTTTCAAGTGTTGTATGTACTTTCTGCTTGTTCGTATGAACTTCTTCGTTTATGGTAATTTCTGGTGTTTGTGGGACTAACGTCGTTTATTGTTGTTCTGTGTGCAACTTTTTTAGATATTCAATCCGTGCATCATATTCGATGTGTTCGAGTCTACTAGTCTTGTGATTATATAGTCAATCATTTACTTTGGTGAAAGTGGTTCTTTCTGTATTTTGAGTATTTATGGATAGTGCCAGTGTGACTTACGGACTCGTCTTGCTTTTTGCAGCCACATAACGACGAACAACGACCACGTTACTGTTCCTACGTACGGGACGTAAGAACTAAATCGCGCCCTGTGTTCGTTGCTGCGATCCTCACACCTTAAACGACAGCTTACCATCTCGTACTGATCGACTTTTACGATCGGTAGGACCAGCACCCTAGCGATATTCCCTAACAAAGAATACTAAATGTACTATCTGAAACACTATTAGAAAATACTAACAAGGAAGCTAAAAATGATGTCAGAGGAAAGTGAAACTGCTTTGGAGCCAGATTAAATCTTAATGAACAAGTGCCTCTTTGAGGGTGCTATTCTAACGTCTTGGCAAAATGTGCAGGTACTTTTACTATACAAGAAAGAAGACAAAGACAAACTCCAAAATTATGTAAGCAGTATAAACTGCTTAGCAAAATAATTACTAAAAGACTATCAAATAAGTTCGATAGTTACCAGCCCGTTGAAAATGCGGGATTTCGCAAAAGTTTTAGTGGCACAGAATACATCCAGTCAATACGAACATTTATCGAAAAGTATAACGAAGATAATGAAAATCTTTATTTGGCATTTGTGGATTATGAAAAATTCTAACAACATACAAAATAACAACTGAAAAGAAGGAGACACTGTCTCTTTAAAATTATTTATTGTTGCATTAGAAGATTTATTAAAGGAGTTAAAATGGGAACAACGCGGAATTAAAATCGATAGCAGATTTTTAAGTCATTTAATATTTGTCGATAACATAGTACTCATAAGTAACAATAAAGAGGAACTACTGTACATGCTAAAGGAGCTTAAACAAAAATCTACAATTGTATATTGTTCTCAAGCTATTATAAGACTAAATATTGGAGAACACGCGAGTATAGTCGTAATAGAGGAAGACCACAAAAACGATAGCTAGATGATATCAAAGCAAAAGAGGCAAGAAACTGGCACCAAATAGCAAAAACCTGAGAAGAATGGAGAACTCTCAGGGAGGCCTTTATGCAGGAGTGAATACAAACAGGTTAAAGAAGAAGTGGTCTTATACCTTATTGGGCTTCCATGAACAGCAGCTGTAAAATTATTGATCGTTGATTTTTTCACGGAGCATCTTCATTTGGCACATATATTTCTATTATCATAGTTTTAGTTCCAAACAAGTCATGATTCTCTTATATACTATACGAGACATAAAACTATACTTCTGTATGTACGCATGTATTTTTCAAATTCCGTTATTATCAGATCTTTCTAATTCGTGGTGTATTTGTTGTGTATTTGTATATTTGCTTTTTGTGATTCTACGTAACAGGTCACAGTTGTGTTAATATTATAGTAATATTACTTTTTTAGTTATATTTATTTTTACATATTCCCTAAAATTTGGTATTTCTTTTCCTTTAAATGTTACAACAATGTACTCATAATTTATGTTATTACATGATTTGTCAGGCAACGTCAGCAAGAAATAATTGCATACCTTCGTCTTCAGGTCAAGTAAATATTGTATTGACAAAAAACACTGATTGTAAGAACGTAAATAGTTTGATAACCTTTTTTGTCAAGGAGATTATATAACACTATTATGTGGCCCGATTCTATCTATCTATCTATCTATCTATCTAATTAGCCTTCTTCGATCCATCTTTGGACATAGGCCTCCCCAATCCTTTTCCATTCTTCTCTGTCTGTCGCTACAGTCATCCATCTAGAGTCCACGTGCTTTTTGATATCATCTGCCAATCCCATTTGGGGCATTCCTCTGCCTCGTTTATACTCCCACGGTCTCCAACTTATAAGAATTTTGTTCCATCGGTCTTCTTTTTGTCTTATATTGTGTCCGGCAAATCTCCATTTCAATTTTGCAATTTCTTGTCTAACATCCCTCACTTTTGTTTTCTCTCTTATCCACTCGTTTCTCTTCTTATCCATTAGTCTTATGTGCAACATTTGTCTTTCCATTGCTCCTTGGGTTTTTATGATTTTGTCCATGTTTGCTTTAGTAGATGTCCACGTTTGGGAACCATCAGTAAGAACAGGGAGTACGCATTGATTATATACTTTGGTCTTAAGATGCTGTGGATATCTTTTGTTTTTAAGAATGTAGCTTAGTTTGCCAAATGCCGCCCATGCCAGTCTAACTCGTCTCTTGATCTCTGCTGTTTGGTTCTCTTTGTTAAGTTTTATAGTTTGACCAAGATATATATAGTCCTTAACTTGTTCTATTTCATCTTGTCCCATTCTCATTGTGATGTCTTCATCTGTATTTGTTATAGTTTTGGTCTTGCTGTAATTCATATTAAGGCCTATCTTTCCAGCTTCTACGTCCAGTTCTTTCATCATTTTAAATAATTCTTCTTTTTTATCGGTTATCAATACGATGTGATCAGCGTACCTTAGATGGTTCAAGCGTTGTCCACAAATTTTTATACCCTTTTTTCCCATTCTAATCTATTAAAAGTATCTTTAAGAGCCTGATTGAAAAGTTTCGGTGATATTGTATCACCCTGTCTCATGCCTCTACTTACTTCTAGCCCGATTCTAGCGCATCAGAATTCTAGAACGTATCATGTTCTCCAAAAATACTTTTGTTTTGTCTTACTAAAAATATTTATGCAGAAAAATGCAAAATAAAATGTTTTAAGATGCATAAAGCTCTACACTGCAAATAAGATGTAGTATCGTGTTTGTCACTTAGTAAAAGACAGACTTCGGTCTAATAATCGTCATCGTTTTTTTACGGGTGGTAACAACTAAAAACTGGTTGATTTTTCTATATTAACATATTCATTATTTCCTCCCCTTTCATTTGCTATGTCGCATGTTAGGATTCGATGAGTAGTTTATTTTGTACGAAGCTAGAGGCCTTCTTAAAGTCAATATATCAAAATTTATCTCAAAGTAAATCTTTTTTATCCATAGTGTGCTATGATATACTGTATGTCGCTATACGTGCATTAATAATGAAGATGTGATGTAATGTCTTTTTGGTATTCACTTTGTTTTTTTTTTTATCTCAATATAATCTTCATTCCCTCCCCTTTCATTAAACGCATCACACGCTCCAATCGGACCCGTAAGCAAATTACATATATTGATACTGTCATGTGATATCTTGTATGTCGCTATACGTTCAGTAATAACGGAGATAAGGTGTAGTGCCCTTTTGATAGATGTCTTGTTCGACTTTTTTGTCTTAATTTATTCGCAATTCCCTCTAATACTAGCAATTGTGTTTGACACTTGTCTAATAGTCCTCACCGTTTCTCCACGGATGGTAGTAGTTTTTGTAGATAGGAAAAACAGACAGAATAAGCAAATTGTAATATTGATATAAATATAATTATTGTATCGTACTCTCTAAGCGTAAAATGTTTTTTTAGGAATTAACTCAAGCTTGACTGAAATGGTCAGTGATTCAACTGCTGTAAATACAGTGATAGGAGTTGCATATTTAAGCAAACTTATTACTGAAATAACTCTAGGGCATAAGAAATTTCAAAGTTTGCTAAAATCGAACCAAACATTTGATCTTATTATTCAGGAAGACTTATACAACGATGCGCTTAAAGGTCTATCATGGCGTTATAATGCACCAATAATACTGTTTAGCGTATTTTCATCCACAAATCATCTAGTATCAGTAACTGGCAGTTCAGCTCCGTCGTCTTACGTACCTAATATTTGGTCTAGGTTTTCCTACCCAATGACGTTTTGGCAAAGATCGATGAATTTATTTTTGAACACTATGGAAAGCATTCTACTAAACTTCAATACATATGTTCTTCATCAATGGATATTGGACAAATATTTTCTAGGTGCTCCTAATATAGACACGCTAAATAAAAACGTGGCTTTAATATTCGTTAACAACCATGAAAGTATTGTTCCTGCAATGCCACAAGTGCCCAATATGGTAAACATTCTGGGTTTCCATTTAAAGGAAAATAACAAACTACCAAATGAGTTACAAGAATTTATGGATGAAGCAAAATATGGTGTCATTTTATTTAGTTTTGGAACTTTTATTAATGTATCAGAAATTAACAATGACACTAAAGTGATATTTTTAAAGTCTTTTGGAAAATTAAAACAAAAAGTAATATGGAAATCTGATGAATATATTATAGAAAAACCTGATAATGTCAGAACAGAAAAATGGATTCCTCAAGAAGAAATTTTAGGTAAGTTTCTAGTAGCATATAATTACTAATCATTTTTTTTTCTACATTATATCTTCATTTTCTGATCGCAATCGTTTTGGTTATTATATGTTGATTTAGAGCAGCTCTGAAAAGATTAAAGTGTACATTATAACTTGAAAATGTAGTAGAGGAAAGGCGCTTAATTTGAGACAGGCGCCTAATTTGATACCCCGTCATATATTTGTGTACGATAGGGTGACATCTAGTGAAAATATTGAAAACTGATCATTCAGTGCGGTGGTAGTGCAGTCTGCTTTCAGTTGATGCTTAAAAGTGACCGTTGTTGTTTTGTCGACGGTAATTTTATTTTTCTACTCTTTTACTTTTCTACAATTTACTAGTAAATTGTATATTACCTACTATTTGGATGCTAAGTAAATGCATCATAACAGATACTGACACGTAATGACTAGCATGTAATAAAAAAATTACGCTTCAGTTTTATAAAAATATATAATATCACATAAGCCTCGTAAGTCAGTTGGTAGTTACCATGGAAACGAATTAACAGACGTTATTTTGACAGATTAAACATTATTAATCTGTCAGTGTAAATATAGTGGTAATTTAATTTTTCAATTAAATCACTAGAAAACATATAAAAACAGAGTTAATGCTAAAAGCTCCCACTAGAGCAGTGGCAGATTGCCACGTGTCAGGTTTAGTACAGGCTGATATTTTCACTAGATGTTTTTAACACTTTATAAAATTCAGTAAACCTTCAGCTGCAGACTCTGTTCTTCTCGTCCTTGGCGGTCACTATTCTCATACGAGAAATGTAGTTCTAATAGATTTGGCCAAGCAGAATCATGTAGGTGCAAATATTGACTCCGATCACTATCTCATAGCTGGACGTCTCAGAGCACGTATATCAAATGCCAGGAACGATAAAACTAAACCAAAAATAATCAAATATAATGTTGATAAATTAAAGTGTACTGAAGTCGTAACAAACTTCCAAATATGCTTAGATCGTAAAATGTCAGAACATCCCAGAAGTGAGGTATATCCCACTGAACTTAACACAAATTGGAAGTTTATGAAAACCACGCTAAAAGAGACCGCAGAGGAAGTGCTGGGTGAAGTACCCAAAGGACAGCGAAACAACTGGTTTGATGAGGAATGCCAACGAGTAACGAAAGAGAAGAACGACGCGTATCTGAAAATGATTAACAGAAGGACTAGGAGCAATGTTGAAGAATATCGAGTAAAGAGACGAGAGGAAAAACAAAAACACAAATAGAAAAAGTGGCAACAAATCAATAAAGATTTCGAAGAAATGGAAAACCTTAATAGAGAACACGAATACAAAAAATTTTACAAACAGGTTAATACAAAAAGAAAAGTTTTTAAGTCACAAGCGAACCAAGTCAAGGTCCTTAACGGAATTCTTTTAAACGAGAGAGTGGAAGTACTAGAAAGATGGCAGGAACATTTTAGTACGCTACTTAATGGATAAAGTAGAAATAGAACAGGAGGATACTGAACTACCAACGTTGGAAGAAATAAACAAAGCAATTCAGTCTCTAGCCAGAAACAAGTCACCCGTAGCAGACAGCATACCCGCAGAAATATTTAAATGTGGCGGTTAAACATTTGTAACCGTCCTTTACAAATTACTAATACAGGTATGGCAAGGACGCGCATTACCAGAAGATTAAAATACTGGAATTATATGCCCCATACACAAAAAAGGAAACGTTTTTAAATGTTCCAACTTTAGAGGGATTTCCCTTCTTAATATAGTATACAAAATTGTGTCCCTGATACTTAACGAACGACTGGCACGCTATACTGACAATATAATAGGATCCTACCAAAGAGGCTTCTTAAAAAACAAATCTACCATTGATCACATATCATCCATCAGACAAATGTTAGAAAAAACGACGGAGTACGACATAGACTGCCATTACATCTTCGTAGACTTTAAGGCAGCGTACGATACTATTGACAGGTCCCAATTATATTCGGCGATGATTGAATGAGGAGTACCAAAAGGTTTGGTAGAATTAATTAAAATGACAATGATGAAAGTCGAATGTAAAGTGCGCGTACAAGGGGATGTTTCAAAACCATTTAAAACCAACAGAGGACTGCGCCAGAAAGATGCGCTATCGTGCACGCTGTTCAACCTAGCGTTAGAAAAAATTATGAGAAATTCGGGAATAAACTTAAAAGGTACGATATATACCCGTAGTATACAAATAATGGCATACGCTGATGATATCGTCATAATTGGAAGAAATCAATTGGAAGATAAAAAAAAGAATATGCGTGGCTAACCGCTGTTATTTTGGCCTGGGCCCTCAACTAACAGCGAGAAGTATGTCAATTGCATAGAAGTGCAAACTTTATAAAACAATAATACGCCCAGTGCTCACATACGGGTCGGAAACATGGGCAATAAAACAAAAGTATTGAGGACCATATATGGCGGAGTAACCGAACAGGGTCTGTGGAGAAGGCGATATAACTTTGAACTTTATGGACTTTTTGGTGATGCAGATATTGTGAAGACCATCAAAATAATTCGCCTAAGGTGGGTGGGCCACGTTATGTGGATGGATGAGAGTGGTCCCACTAAAATAACTATGCTAAACAGGTCGGTCGGAAGAAGAAGAAGGAGGCGACCTCAACTCAGATATCTGGACGATGTACAGGAAGATCTGAGGGAGATTGGAGTGAGGGGCTGGAGAAGACAGACACTAGATAGGGAAGGATGGAAGACTGTTTTGAAGCAGGCCAAGGCTCACGAAGGGCTGTAGTGCCAACTGATTATGATTAGATAAAAAACAGCAACGTCCGAAGAAGAAATACCAGTACATGCAAACGTATGTCAACCTTCTACATAAAAAGGCAAAAATCAAGAAGAAAACTGAAAGTTTCTTTAAGTTAAAGCTCAGACAGCAGTGAAAACCTTCCACTAGCTGATTCATCGTCCGACGAAAACGCGGAACATCTATTTTGAACCGGCAAATTTTCCGACGATAGATATGGCGAACAATGGGCAAAGTGTTACCAGTGTGGCGGGTCGGTACATGAAGACTATGGAGGAATAAAGTGAAGTACATTTATTTGCTTTTTCTGCGAAGGAAAGAGCTTTTTTGAATAGTTTTTTAAATTGGGGTACCACAATATTGGGCTATCCCAAATTGGACCACCTTTTATGTTTAACATTAAATGTGGCAAAAAAATTAAATGTATTTTTTTGCAAAAATATATGTTTTACCAGCTTTATATTTTTTTTATTATTGAGTTAATGCCTCGACAACTAAGTTCATTGGCATGGTACAGTCAGGTACCTAGTGTAGTGTGTGTGTGTGTATGTGTGTGTGTGTGTGTTTTGTGTGTGTGTGTGTGTGTGTGTGTGTGTGTGTGTGTGTGTGTGTGTGTGTGTGTGTAGAGTAATTGTCTTGATACTTAGCAAAGTCGACGTCATTGTCTTTGCTAAGAGACGCTAATTGTATCCAAACGTCTGCGGTCCCTCCGGTGAGTACCGATCGCACAAGGATAGAAATTATTTTCGTTCATTAATTTTTAATAAACAAAAATTTCTCCACCCAGATGAGATTCGAACTCACGACCTTTATGTTTAAAGGTAGGCGCTCTTACCACTGAGCCACAGAGGGGGTTATTAGCTTTATATGTTTTTGTATTCGAGAAACATTAAATTTAAACATTTTGGAATGTTCTGTTTTATATTTTCTTTTCAAAAAAGTGTCTCAAATTTGGTGCCTTTCCTCTACTTATCATTTGTCATCACATGATCAGACCATGGAGCGATCCATGTTAGACATAACTGTGTGAGACGAAATAAAAAATGAAAAGGTCAGGAGAAGGACCAATGTGACTGACGACATCGAAAGGATAGGCAGACTAAAATGGAGATACGTGAGACACATATCTAGAATTACGTATTGGTGATTGACAATGAGGTTACTGCAATAAAGACCAAGGGAAGAAAAGAGACGCTTTGATCGACCACCTACATAATGCGCTTATGATTTAAGAAGACAAAATAAAAACTAAGTGAGAGTGGCGCAAGAGGCCTATGTTCAGCAGGGAACTTTTGACGTTGGATGATGATGATATAATGCTTATTCTTTACCTTCTCTAAGTACATCTACACTGTTTTTCATATCAAATGCTTATTTGCAATTTATAAATGCTATTTAGTAGTTGAGTAGTAAATAAGAAGAAGAATAGGCGTAACAAATGTTATAGAGTGCATAGTATGGCCGAAATGGAACTGGACAGGCCATTTAGCCAGAATTAATAACGGGTGGTAGATCCAAAAGTTACACTGTAGAGATTACGAGCTGGCAGAAGAAGCAAAGGTAGACCACTTACACGATGGAGAGACGACGTACAAAGAATCACTGGCAATTGGCTGCAGCAAGAGCGACAGAACTGGAAGAAATTAGGGAAGGCCTATGTTCAACTTTGGATCAAAAGGCTGGGTGATGATGTAGTAGTTTAATATTATTTTATTTATAGTTCTTAATATTGTTTCTTCATTAAATAAAGCATGAGGTCTGTAGAAAGTGAGTCTAACAGAGTGGAAATTACTTTGGTTTTTAATTTAATAACTTCCCTAGAGTCTTCTTACAGTCCATTGGTCATAAAATAGAGCAATGTACCATTAATCGACTCTTTATAGTACCACGACATATAATATATGTACCATGGTTTTTCTCAATGAAAACTGAACTTTAAACTGTACATTGTATTCGGAGTTTATAGGCAGTGGTTTTTGTGATTTTTTTTAACATTTAGTTTGGAACTGATAGTTCCACACCAAATATTATGGCGAGATATTAGGAAAAGTCTATTTTTATATTAAATGCAATAAATTAAATTTTTTAGCCCATCCCAATTGCAAACTGTTTATAACCCACGGTGGCTTCAATAGTGTGATCGAAACAATTTACCACGCAGTGCCTGTGTTAGCGATGCCTTTAATAGGAGATCAACACTTGAATGCAGCCCGAATAGTAGATCTAAATATAGGGCTTAGTACTTCTTTTAGAGGAATAACTGAAGAAATCCTTGATTCTTTATTAGAAGAACTTCTAACTAATAATATGTAAGTAAATAATATCCTTTAACTGTCTATGTTCAAATTATATATAACTGTTCAGTTACCAACCTATCATTTTCGCTATAGGATATTTCGTCAAAAATGCAGTTATGTAATTGTTTGACATCCATGTGTCAGAACATAACTTTTGACTACTTAAACTGTTATGCATTAAATTTAGTGGAATTTATTAATTTTGTTATGTTGTTAATACAATGCGATGTTTCGCATTATACAAAAACTGAAATGTTCATATATGATTTTAAACTAGATTACAAAATACGGTACAAAGATCCATTTAAAAATAAAAAGAAAAATTTACTTAAATTGAAAAATTAAGTTAGCTGCCTGTTTGAGTATGACTGGTCAAAATACGGCCAGGTTTATACAAGAAAAATATACTTGTATTCTAAATATTGTTATTGTTATATTATAATTGGATACGCCTGTAATCCTAATAGCAGCTCCTCCTAAACAGCAGGCACATGTACGCACTATTGAACACACATCAGAAGAGTTCGAAGTTAAAAGAGGAGTGCGACAGGGGTGTATATTGTCACCACTACTATTCAATGCATACTCTGAAGAAATTATGAAAAGAGCTCTTGAGAGAGAAACAGCAGGAGTCAAGGTCAATGGAACACCAATCAACAACATTAGATATGCTGATGATACTATCATAATAGCAGACAACCTCCAAGACCTCCAAAAGCTAATGAACAAGATAGTGTAGTATGGAGATGAATATGAATTATCAATAAACACCAAGAAAACCAAATTTATGAGGATATCAAAAACCCAAAATAATGGTGAAAGCCTGACAATTAAAGTTGTGCTTTAGAACAAGTTGAAAACTACCACTATCTTGGCACAATAATTAATCACACAAACGATTACTCCAAAGAAATCAAAGTTCGAATAGAGAAAGCACGTACAAACTTCAATAAAATAGGAAAAGGAACTTTGTGCAAGAGAACTAAAATTGGACTTGAGAGTTAGGCTGGCAAGGTGTTATATTTTCTCGACTCTGCTTAATGAGATGGAAGCATGGACACTTAACGCGTCGACTGCTAAAAAGGTGGAAGCATTTGAAATGTGGGTGTATAGAAGAATCCTGAAGATATCATGGACCGAGCATATGACAAACAACGAAGTCATGAGAAGAATCAACAAAAGAATGGAAGTATTGGAAACCGTCAAGATATGAAAGCTGCAATACCTGGGGCATTTTATGCGTAATGAGTGATACAACCCACTTCAATTGATTATACAAGGGAAAATCCAGGGCAAGAAAAGTGTAGGAAGAAGAAGAATATCATGTTTGCGTAACATGGTTGTGTAACTTGAGGGAATGGTACTGATGCACATCAATTGAACCATTCAGAGCAGCAGCATCTAAGATCAGAATAGCCATGATGATTGCCAACCTCCGTCGCGGAGATGGCACGTGATGAAGAGAAGAAGAAGTAATCCTAATCTGCTATCTCTAAATATAAAACTTATATGAATGTTTAATGGAATTTAGCTGTACAAGCAAACTTAATCATCGTAAGTGACTCGACAAAACTTGTGGATCTTGGCCACTCCTGTCGGTTCCTGGCAACTTCCCTCCATCTTCTGACCCTTAGAATATGTAAGCCTTCTTCCACATCAACAATATATCTTCTTAGTGGTCTCTACTTTTTGTGCCCTCTGGTTTTAAAAATTTTAATCTCTTTGTGTATTCGCGATCTGACATCCTAGCAATGTGTCCTACCCATCTAAGTCTCTGCACTTTAACGAATTTTACAATATCTGGATCGGTGTATAACTAGTTCAAAGTTGTATCTTCGACGCCATAGCTTATTTTCATTTACGGCCCCAAAAATATTTCTAAGAATTTTTCTCTTAAAAATACCAAAAAGTTTTTCATCATTTTGAGATAAGGTCCACGCTTCAGCCCCATATATAAAAACCGGTCTTATTTAGGTCTTGTATATATCGAGCTTTACTGCGCGTTTTATATTTTTTTTTTTCTTGCTCAAAGGTATAGTTGTTAATTTGAATTCTCTGGTGGATATTTCGGGGGCTTTTAGAAACCAACATATATTTGGTATTTTCTCGTTTACCATAATTCCTAATTCACTTGTTGCGTCCGCAAGCCTTGTAAAACACTGCACCATGTCTCTCATACATCTGCTCACTATAACTATATCGTCAGCGAATGCGACAATTTGCGTCGATCTTTAAAAAATATTTCCATTGCCTGATTGCCTTTTCCAAGGCAGTATTAAAGAGGAGACACGCCAGCGGTTCCCCCTGTCTTAGACCATTTTTCTCTCAAAGTTTTCTCTTTCATTTCTAACGCATGAGCTTACGTTTTGCATTATTAGTTGGGTCAACTTAACTAACTTACTTGGGATCCCAAACTCTATCATTGCTTTATATAATGCAATGATAGAGTTTTAATTATATAATGCAGTTCTTTTCACACTGTCATATACTGCTTTAAAGTCGACGATATCTATGTTATATTCTAGTGACTTTTCTAAAATCTGCTTTTCTTGAATTTGATGTGTAGTTGACTTTCCAGCAGTAAATTCGCTTTGATATTGACCAATAATATCCTTTGTAAAGAGTTGAAGTCTTTCAAACAATACATTGCCGAAGATTTTATAAGCAGATGCTAACAGAGTAATGCTTTCATAGTTCTAACACTTCAGTTAATCACTCTTTTTATGCATCGGACATATTATTCCCTTTAGCCGGGAATTAGTTTAAAAAGGAACATAATAAGCATTTTCAAGTTGTAGAGGAGGCACAGAAAATGAGAAGAGATAATTTCAAGATGAACAAATAGATCAAGAGTGTTTAAGTTTTGACTTAAAAAAACCCTAGCACTTCCAAGACTACTTGCAGGCATAGTATTTTATAAGCGTTATTTCTTCTTCTTCTTCTTTTTATATAAACATAAGTCTGTTTTTTAGTGTGCTTCCAGCAAGTTGTCATTCCATCGTTTTCTTGGTCTTCCTACTGATGGTCCTCCTATTGGGAAACTCTCTCTTACCGTCTTTACTACTCTATTTGATGTCATTCGGCTTATATGATCGTTTCATTCTACTCTTCTATTTCTTACCCAGTTTTTGATGTTCTCCACCTTGCATCTATGTCGTATATCTGTACTTCTAACTCTGTCCTATAGTGTCTTACCATCAATGTTTCAAGTGTTTTCATCCCTGCTGTTTCTAACATCCTTTTTGTTCTCTTTGTGTCAGGTCTTGTTTCTGCCGTGTATGTCATTATTAGTATTGTTTCATTTAGGCAGCCTGCGGCTCTGTTTGCTCTATTCACTTGATCTTACACTTTGGTTTCGAGCTTTCCGTAGCTAGATAATGTGGTGTCTAGATATTTAAACTCCATAAGCGTCAGTTGTGGTTGTATAATGCAGGAATACATGGTGCTAAAGAAAATAGATGATATCGCTACATTTGGGTAGAAGGTTCAGCTGAAAGGGTCCTCCAGGAAATAGGCTCTTGCCTTAAAAAACATGTAACGAATAAATTAACTCCAGAAGTCAAACATATTACCCTTTGGTGTGATTCTTGCTTCGGCCAAAATCGAAATATTAAGTTAATACTAATGCTTAAATCAATTTTGCAAGGGGTACAAACCTAGAATTACCGTAAAATATCACTGTTGTAGTCATAGTTTTCTGCCCAACGACACTGATTTCAGTGATATTGAGTCGGCTATTAAACGACAGCAAAGATTAGTACCCCAAATGAGTACATCGAGGTAATGCGTTGTTGCAGACAGCGGAGACCATTGTTTGTTATCCAAATGCACGTCGCAGATTTTTTAGGCATAATAAACATTGAAAAATAATTTTTAATCGCAAAGTGACAGAAGATAAAGAAAGAAAGAAAAAGAAAATAGAAAATCAAGACCCATTTCGGCCAATGATATAACAACACAATTTTTCACAATCTTATAACAAAATTTCTATTAAAAATCTTCTCAAGGTAGAACTGGTAACGAAGAAATCCTTAGCGATTTAATACCTACCATTGTGGCCTAACTGAAAGCCAATCGCTGAGGCGAAATTACAAAATTTAAAATGATTATTTAATTACAAAATGATGCACCTTGATCCTGCCGATGCTATAACCAGCTTAGACCGTCGTGACCAACTTTTGAAAGGCTCCGGGGTCGTTCTTCAATCCAAAGGGCATCACCGTGAACTCGAAAGCTGACCCATCAGGAAGGCTGAATGCTGTCTTCGGCTTTGAGTCATCCTCGAGCGGTATTTGCCAGAATCCACTCTTTAAGTCAAGGGTTAAAAAGATTGTGGCCGTGCCTAGTTCCTTGATACTGTCGTGAATTGGAGGCATGTTCGACACTTCGTCCACGGTGATGCCGTTGATCTTGCGATAGTCGACGCAGAAGCTTGGCGTACCATCCTTTTTGGTCACGATGACGACGGGGCTATTGTAGGGGCTTTTACTGGGAAGGATCACCCCAGCGGATGGTCACGGCTTTCGTTGTCGGCTGGCGTATTCTATCGTCGAAGACGTCACTGTAGTCTTGGATCGTCTGTTCAATGATGTGGAAGACGAACTCTAGAGCTTGGTCCGGTTGGAGCTTCTTTGTCAGAGTGTTGTTTGTAGTCGGTTTCGGAGACTACCAATATAATGTTCGGCGGCTCTGGATCCCAGCGTGTAGACATTTGCGGGTTATCTCCACCAGGACTTCTTCTTGTTTGAGCCATAGCATTCCCAACACTATGTCGTGGTGAAGTTTCTCGATTACTATGCATTTTGCGGTTGACTTGAAGCTGTTAGTGAACCGGATGTCCACTTCTGCTGTCCCTAGACTACGGGACGTGAGGCCTTCGCACGCCAGCCGGACTGTTGATGGATTACCTCGTATTTCCTCCCTCTGGAATAGGTTTACGTTAATGAAATTTGCTGATGCACCAGTGTCGACTAGTGCGCTGATCCGATTGCTGTTGATTTCTGCGGAAATCTTTGGGATGTGAGTTGAGGTGGGTCTGTGTTCCATCGGGTTCAGCTGGGGCACTACTTCGGTTGAGGTCCTTAGTGGAGTGTGCCCCTGTTGTCGTTTTCCTGGTTCTGGTCCTGGGCACGGGGTCTGGGCAGTGGGCGGCTCTGTTGTCGGTTGTTGTTAGGGTCTCGGTTTCTCCAGTCATCAATTGTCTCCGAGGATCTCGGAGTTTGTTGGCTCGTGGTGAGTTGTCGGATCTCGATGAACTTTGGCTAGTTGGAACATTTGCGGTTAGGCGGTGGTCGAGTTCCAACTCGTCTGCAGCCCATCTGATAGCTTTTTTATCAAAATTTGAAGGGTGCCAATTTAACTGAAAATGTTGAGGGTTACAATGTCAATACTGAAGATTTAGATTTTGAAGTGAATAAAATAGATTAACATTAAAATTTATTAAATTAATACGTTGAATAATCATATCCTTAATTTTTCGGTAAATAAAAATAATTTTTCGAACTTTACTTTTGTTTTTATTTAATATTGTTGGTATTAATTTCCCTCTTTGCAACATGCAAAAACCTACCAATTCACAAAAATTTCTCGTTTCTATTTTTAATTTTTAATTAAAATAATATTTAAACATGTAGAAAATACCAAAATAACTATACACAGAAAAAAAAATTAACAAAGTAGTAGCAAAATATCCTACAGATGTTTTAAATCGATAAAAACTTTAAACTTAATTATCTCAGTTTGTCACTATTGAGGGTTGGTAGTGTTCTGCATAACGCCGTCCAATTATGTTTTTAATATTTAAAATACTTAATTTCATTAAATATTACATTTTTTTAGATATCAAGAAAATGTTAGGAGAAGATCTAACCTTCTTAAAGACAGACCAGTAAAACCTATGGATTTAGTTACATATTGGGTGGACTATGTGATACGTCATAAAGATCTATCTCATATGAGGCTTTCGGGCATAGATTTGGCATGGTACCAATACTATTCTGTAGATGTATTATTCGTGTGGGGAGGAGGTTTTATGGCTGTGATATTTTTATTACGTAGATTTTTTAATATATATGTATATAAGTACTTTAAAAATTCAAAAGTTAAAACTAATTAAATCAGAATATTTACACAGTCTTGACATTTACTAACCACTCTTGAAATAATTTTATCGTAAAAGTGCCTTATCTATTCTATCTGATTTTTTAAATGCATTCTTGGATGCATGTTAAATGAATAGACTAAGAGTTCTTGTAGACGTCCATACTTGTGAGCAGACGTTGAGAACTCAAACCATAGTCTCATCTGAGGAAACAACAAATGTACACGGTATAGAGATAATAACCACTGAGATCGGAAAATGCACAATAACCTCGGTAGGTATACAAGCCCCCAAACCAGCCTGTTATATTTTCACCCTCAACTAATTTTCAATCACAAGCCAATCAGCTTGTACTGGTAGACTTTGACAGTCATGCTCTGGGGCTATGCAGATTCGGACGCAAATGGAGACGCAGTAGAAACATGGGCCAAACCGAGTGGACTCACGTTAATCCATGATCCTCAACTTCCACCATATTTTCAGAGCAAAGTTTGGAAAAGAGAATATAACCCGGATATCTGTTTTTTAAGCAAGAACCTCAAAGACCGATATACCAAAGTAGTATATGGCCCCATACCAAAAACTTAGCATAGACCAATTGGTATTAATATCTTCCCAATTGTCAGACCACAAGCTATTCCATTCAGAAGGAGATTTAGCTTCAAAAAGGCAAACTGGCAAAAGTATGCAGACATGCTAGATTCTAAACTAATACGCCTTGAACCAAAAGTAAAGAACTACGAAAAATTCGTAGAGGTACTCAAAAATGTATCTAAAAAAACTATCCCTAGAGGATGTAGACAACAATATGTTCCCGGGATGTCCAGCGAGTCCAAAGAACTAATGAGAACATACAAAACCCTCTATTCCACTGACCCTTTTAGCAAAGAAACTGCAATGCTCTTCAATATATACACAAACGACCAACCTACTCCGACCGAAACCAAGCACTTTCTCTATGCTGACGATCTTGCAATATGTGCTCAAGGAAATAGTTTTAAAGAAGTGGAGGAGAAACTCAAAACTGCCTTAAAAACAATGACAGCGTACTACAATAACTAGTACGCTGTACTACTTATTGTAAATAACTAAGTTACCAGCTGTTCTCCGTTTGAAGAGGTTTACTATCCGCTCTGAAACTCACTTCAGCCATGTATGTTACCTGAAGTCAAATTTAATTTAATACTGAACATCACAGTTTTTTTACAACATGATGTATAATTTTTTACAACTATATGTAATTTAAAGGGTTTTTACCCAGGTATTTTGATGACTCAGGCATTATAACCTTGCAATTTTAAAATTTTAAACCTGATGACGGACTGTTTAGTCCGAAAACGTTTGTTTTTTTGATGTAGCCCTTGTAAGGGTTTTTAAATAAATTTAAGAAGACTAACCTCTTTTTGTGATACGTGGTATACTGCCAGATACAGGATTTTCTTGTGGATTTCTTTATTTTTAAGTTGCACGACTTCGTTCGCCACTGTCTCCCCCCCCCCGGAACCATTTGGATATTTAATGCAGTGGTTTCCCGTTGCCTTCTGCATCCTGATTCCGTTGACTACTGTCTTGGTTCCTCCGCCTTCGAAACCGATTTCTCAGTCTCAGGACAACAGAGTGCCCCGCCATTTACCAGCTCATCCGCCCGAAGCCGTTGGCCGGTAGATGGGGGATTACTTATACCTGTAATCGCTCGGTTACTAGAGGGTGTAGTAGAAGAGAATATAGTGACCCGTCTGCTTTCGGAAACCTAATCGCCATTCAAGGTCAGAAGAAACAAGAGTTCGCCACGAGAGGCTGATAGGAAAGATTAAAGACATTTTACTCGAGACAAGTTAAAAATGAGTAAAATGTGAAGGCCCTTATGATGCGCCAGGTGCGCTTCATAAGCGTAAGAGTATTGATACACTTTGTGTTCCCGCTCCTGCTTCGGGGTGTTGACTACACACTGTCTGGCTCGTCCAGCATGCCATAGCATGGAGGATGGGGCACACGACATTTTTACAATGTAGATACTCCAACTGTAGCATACTAAACACTGCAAAATACGCTAAGCTAATGGAGACTTCGCAAAGGCGAATGCTCCTTAGGGTATCTAGCGCATATAAGACAATTTCAAATGAGGCTCTATATGTCATTGGAGCGGTGATATCGATCGTTTCGTTGTGCAAAGAGCGAGCAAGGATGTATGCGAGGAGGATGGATGTAAATATAGATAAGAATGAGAGAGAAAGAATATAGTAGAGTGGCAGAGAGAATGGGCGATTGATAGTGGAAAGACAAGGTAGACGAAGGAGCTTATTCCCGATCTGAGACTGTGGTGGTAATGTAAGTTCAGGAAACTAGACTACTTCCAGACTCAGTTTCTGACAGGACATGGTCGTTTTGGCATTTTCACAAATAGAATAGGCAAGTCGCCCTCTGTACTGGAATCAAACATCATCTATCCGGACAGAGGCAGGAGAATCCGACGACATCAAAATCAAACGTGGCGTCCGTCAGGGATGTATACTATCACCACTGCTGTTTAATATATACTCTGAGGAAATCTTTCAAGAAGCAGTGGGTGATGTTGAAGCCGGAATTCGAATCAACGGAGAATTAATCAATAACATTAGATACGCGGACGACACGGTAGTATTTGCTGACAGCTCTGAAGCCCTCCAGGAGTTAATGAACAGAATCACAGAGGTCAGTCAGAGATACGGACTTTCACTAAACACCAAGAAAACAAAATGCATGATGATCTCTAAGAAGGAACAGCAATTTGAACAAATCAGTGTAAACGGTCAACAAATAGAAAGAGTAAAAACATACACCTACCTTGGTACGAACGTCAATGAAAATTGGGACCATTCCATAGAAATCAAATGTAGAATAGAGAAAGCAAGATCTGCATTTCAAAAAATGGCCAAGTTATTCAAATGTCATGATTTATCAATGCCCATAAAAATCAGGTTACTACGATGTTATATCTTTCCTATACTGTTGTACGGAGTTGAGTCATGGACTCTCACAGACGCCACCTGCAAGAAAATTGAGGCTTTTGAAATGTGGCTTTATCGTCGCATCCTGAAGATATCGTACACCGACCACGTTACTAATGAGGGTGTTCTGTTGAGAATGAAAAAAGAAAAAGAGCTGTTAACCACAATAAAAACAGCTAAAATCGAATACCTCGGTCACATCATGAGGAACAGCGAAAGATATGGACTGCTGCAACTAATCTTGCAGGGAAAAGTAGAAGGAAAACGGGGACCAGGAAGGCGAAGGATTTCCTGGCTGAAAAATCTACGAACGTGGTTCAATACAACAACCACAAATCTTTTTAGAGCAGCAGTGTGTAAAGTGCAGATTGCTATGATGGTCGCCAACATCCGAAACGGATAGGCACTACAAGAAGAAGAAGTCGCCCTCGGCAAATCGGCCTGTACTGTTTGTGGGGTACCGGACACTCCCGACCACATTAACTGCCAGAGATTGGCAAATGAGAGGGGATATTTCGAGAGGCGAATGTGTTTCGTGCTGGATGAAAGAAACATTGTAAACATAATGTTTAGAGGAGAGAAAGAATGGAGAGAAGTCCACTTTCTGATTTCTGGGGTGATAAAGAAAAAGGAGCAGGAGGACAGAAGAGGAAATTGAGCCAAGTATCATAAATTTATGGTTAATATTATTTATTGGATTATGGCCTAACGTCTGAAACATTTTCTGATTTACGGTAATAGGTATGGTTATTTATAAATTTTTAGTTTTTTATTTGATTTGTTTATTGGGTGGCAAGATCACCTCTCTGGAACGGTGGTTAAGGTTTTAGCCAGAAAACAATTAATCCGGCACTACCCTGAGGTCTTCTGGCCTAGTATCATACTCGGCCGAGATGCCAGGGTGTCTTGTTCCGTGACATAGATGTCCAAAAAAGATTTCCCCCACCAGCCTGTCAGAATTCAATGGATACCTTCTTAAGCTCTTACTGGAATCTGGCAATACGGCAATTAAAAAAAAGAGGTTTTGGAATTGATCTAGCGAGCTAAGACTTCTTTTTCTTAAAGTGCCTATCCATTCCGGATGTTGGCGATCATCACGGCTATCTTTACTTTGTTTACTGCAGCGCGGAACAGTTCAGTGGTAGTCGTCTAAGACTATTTTGTAGATTTCGACTCAAAAAAATATTGTTTTTATTATTGAAAAAGTAACAGTCTACGAGAATATGTTTAACAGATAGAATATTATCACAGTGTGTACATGAATGTAGATCTAGGGAAGCCATTAAATGTTTATGACTTAGTCTTGTTGTCAAACCTTAGCACAAGTTGACACAACTATAATTGGTATTGCCTGGACTCCCACCTAACAATTTACAATTAAAAGTAAGATCAGTTCTCATTAGTCTTAACATTAATCATCCTCGACTGTGCAGTGAATCTAGACTGACTTTGAAAAGACTTATGAAGAATGTCATTGAGGCAACAATCATCAAGGAAAAATTCAAAGGAGAGGATGTCGTTCCAGTGCATACCGATGATTTGAACGAACGTACCATTTGATTTTAAACGTTTACAATTTTCTCTGCGTTTGGCTTTTGCAATAGCAATAAACAAATAACAAAGCCAAACGTTGGAAGTTTGTGAAATTAACTTAGAGTTTACCAATACTAACTCATGAAATTCATATTATATCTCTTCCTGATTAAGCTTAGAAAAAGCACAAAACACGTTGATTTTTATGTTCAAATTCTAATTTTTTCTGTTGCATATTAAGTTTTATTTGTCAAAATTATGACGTCATCGACCTTTAGGAGACAAATTAATTGATATAGAGCGTAGCTATCCATCTCTAATTAAGTAATTATTATTTTATAAAGTAGTCGAAAAAATCTTGTGTAATACCCTAGGGCAGTGATGACGAACCTATGACACGCGTGTTAGTCCTGACACGCGGCGAGCTTATTTTTGGTGACACGTATCATCATAGATAAAAATTTTTATATTTCAAATATGTGTCTCTTAATAGCC